GTCTGGTTAGTTTTGGTATTTAACATATACGTCTAAGCCACTTCTTGGTTTTCCTCTTAGGTTTTATGTACTAATTTCCCTTAAGGGACATAACATTTGAGTTATGTTATAACTGAAACCTGTTCCCCCCAGTACTTACTGCTCATACCTTATTTTTTTAAAATTATAAATTTGGATCAATATTTAGTGCCCACATTAATATGACTAGATATATATAATTCACTGTCAAGCCATGTGGGATCAAACATTACTGTTACTATCACAACTCTAATACTTCTCAGGAATGATAATCTCATATTTTCTTTATTTGCTTAGGTTTCTGTGTAATTATTAACTCAACCTCAGGTTCTCTTCCAGTTGGTTACATATCCTCTCAATGCCCAATGGTAGAAATGAAGGAATTTATTACTCTCACTTAACATGAAATGTGAAGGCAGACTATTTCAGTTGGTTTAATGGCTCAGTGATATTGTGTTTTCTATCAATTTCCTGTTTTTGAAGACATAGCTCCCTGACACTCCTGATCTGCTTCTGTCTAGAGAGGATTGTTCTCTGATGGTGCTACATGGCTTCTGTCCTGGGCTCCTTTCACTACTATCCTGAAGGTTATTTTGCTTTGTTCTTGAGTTGAGTTTCTTGCTTGCTGAATCCCAAGGTTACTCTTTCTTGATTCCCTTTATCATTTTGGTGGAGTTCCTTCTCCTGTGGTAGCTTCTTTTCCCCTTTGGTTAAATATACATGGCACAAATTTTACCATTTTACTCACTGAAAGGGTGCATTTCAGTGACATTCTACATTCAACATTATTCTGCAAAAGTCACCAATATTCTTTTTGAAAACCTTTTCATCATCCCCAATGGAAACTCCCTGCCCATTACAGCACGATTCTCCATTCTACGTGTCTTGGTAACCATTATTCTTCTGTCTCTATATATTTAACTATTCTGGGTACATCTTATAAGTGGAAACAAAGAATTTGTCCATTCTCTAGTGCCTTTTTAAGAAAGGGTGTATGAGAAGTACACTTGGAACAGGGGACCGACCGAGACCCTCCGCAGATGCCTGAAACCATGGGTGGTACTGAACCCTATATATGCAATACAATATTTTTTCTTATATGTCCTGCAGTGTTGCCACATAGTACCAGAGTTAATCTGTCCTTCATGTTTTTTGACCTACTCATCCTTTGTATCACTGCTCTTGCAATTTGGGCCATTATAAGTAAAATACATGTTACTTGAACACAAGCACTGTGATATTGCAGCAGTTGACCCAATAACCAAGATGGCTACTAGGTGACTAACTGGTGGATTGCAGATGGACACGCTGGAGAAAGGGATGATTCGCTTTCCAGGTAGGACAGAGCAGTATGTGATGAGATCTCATCAAGCTATTTGGGGTGGTAGACAATTTAAAACTTATGAATAGTTTGTTTCTGGAATTTTCCACAAAATAATTTCAAACCCTGGTTGATCATGGGCAGCTGAAACCATGGAAAGCAAAACCACCGATAGGGGGCTACTGTATAGTTTTTGAAACATGCATATCTAAAAATACTCTATTTACCTTCTCACTTATGAATAACTTGCCTACGTACATAATTCTGAGTTGGGTGTATTTTAGTTTTGAAGGTGCTCGTTCAGTATGATGTCCCAGTAGGGATCCTGGATCTGCAGCTTCATTGCCTGGTTCAAAGCTCAGCTCTGCCATTTGCTATGTGTGTTGTATTGGGCAAGATGCTTTGCCCCTTTGGAACTCAAGATTTGTCTTCTGTGAAATGCAGATTAATAGTAGTACCTATTTCACTGGTTGTTGTGTAAACGAGTTATAAGGCACTTAAAACAGTGCATGGCACATAGTTCAAGGCTTCCCTAAGTCTTAGCTCTATCACTTTCCAACTTCTAGTGCTGCTGTGTCCCTTCCTGTCCCTTCCCTTTTTTTCTTTTGGAGTAGCTGAGATTTACAGGTATATACTACCATGCCCCACTGTGTCCTTTATTTTCGTATATTTTTGTCTACATGTTTTATCCTTAGGATTTTGCCATATACTTAATGCCCAAGAGCTCTGCCTTGTTCTCATTTACTTAAAAACAAACAAACAAACAAACAAACAAACAAAAAACAATAGCCTGTTCTTGGGTGTCTATCTTCTATCTTTGAGAATTCCAATGGGGGAAAAACAAGTCAAAAACTTGTTTTTCTTTTCCTTCATATCCTTGTTCCCTCCATATTGCTTTTTTTTCTGTTTACTTTTACATCCATCTTTAATAATAGAATCTTTCTTCTAACATCTGGCCATTCTTGGCTAGATGGGGCAGAAAAAGAAAAAAAGCTGATTGGAAGCACCGTGTACATGGATAGGGCTTGTCAATTATAGGTTTTGGCACAGGGTGACAGGAGCCCCTCACGTCTATACCTTTGTCTTTTCTCTTTGGCAGTCAGATTCACCAGAGAAGAATCTTGCAATCTCTTCTCTGGAGATGTGTGTCAGGATGTCAGCCTGCTGGAGAAGAGGGCTTGGGCAGCATGTAAATTGTCATTTAACCCTCCTGGTTTTAATGCACTTACTTCTCCTGAGACTAAACCTGGAGTGTTTTTCTGGGGTGAGGAAGTCACTCAGCTATAATGATTAATGCGGCCTTAATAGTCATCCTGCTGTAGCTATTTCTAGTTCTGCTGTGCAAATT